AGCCGCCTCCACATCCTCCTTCTCATCCTCCTCCTCATCCTCCGCCTCTTCCGCCTCATCGTCCTGCTCCTGCTCCTGCTTCTCGTCCTGCTCCTGCTCATGCTGCTGCTCCTCCTCCTCATCCTCCTCCTCCTCCTCATCCTCTTCCGTCTTCTGCTGCTCCTCCTCCTCATCTTTCTCATCTTCCCCCTCCTCCTTCTCCTCCTCCTCCTCCTCCTCAGCCTCCTCCACCTCTCCTCCTCCCCCTCCTTCTCCGCCTCCTCCTCATCCGCATCCTCCCTTCCCTCCTCCCCTACTCCTCCTAGTCCCCTTCTTGCTGTACCTCCTCCATCATCATCATCTTCCACCTCCTCCTCCACCTCCTCCTCCTCCATCCACCTCCCCACATCCTCCCTCCCCTCATCGCCCATGGTCCCCTCGTCCTCGTCCTCGCTCGCCCTCTGACTTCCTCCTCCCTCCTCCCCCTCCTCCTCCACCGCCTCATCCTCCTCATTCGTCTCCTCCTCCTCCTCCGTCCACCTCCACCGTCCACCTGTTCCTCATCCGCCCTCTCCTCTCCTCCTCCGTCATCCTCCTACGCTCCTCTCCTCCTCCACCTCCACCTCCTCCTCCTCCTCCACCTCCACCTCCTCTTTATATCCTGTTCCTCCTCCTCCTCCACCTCCTCCTCCCCTCCTCCTCCCTCCTCCTACTCCCCCCCTCCTCCTCCTCCTCCTCCTTGTCCTCCCTCCTCCTCCTCTCCCCCTCAGTCCTCCTCCTCCTCCTCCTCCTCCTCCTCCTCCTCCTCCTCCTGCTCCTGGTCAGCAGTGCAACGCCCTGTTTCAGGAGGCCCTGACCCCTGGCGCCCCCCTGAAGGCCGTGCAGGCCGCCTGCATCCTGCCCCGCGGAGAAGGGAGCCCTCCTCGATCGATCGATCCTCGATCGCTTCTCTAGCCTCGTTTTTCGAGCCGCCCTCGATGTCTCGAACCCTCGAGCCCTCCTCCCTGCAACAAACGACACACGTATCCTTATCCTGCGGTTATTGCCCTTCGCTGTGCCACGACGGCAACCGTGCCGACGAGGGATTCTCCGTCGTGTCAGCCCGCTTGGGCTGCGGGGGAGCCTCACCAGTGTGCCTCGATGACTGAGGGGGGAGGACGGATGACTGAGGAGCAGGATGAGGAGGAGGCGGAGGAGGACGAGGAGGGGGAGGAGGAGGGGGAGGAGGAAGAGGAGGATGAGAAGGAGGAGGAGGAGGAGGTTAGGAGGAGGAGGAGGATGCGGAGGAGAGGAGGAGGAAGAGGAGGAGGAGGAGAGGAGACGGGGGAGGAGGATAAGACGGAGGAGGAGGAGGGAGGAGGAGGAGGAGGAGGAGGAGAGGAGGAGGAGGAGGAGGCTGGAGAGGAGGAGGAGAGAGAGAGGAGGAGGAGGAGGACGAGGAGGAGCGGACGGAGAGGAGAGGAGGAGGAGGAGGAGGAGGCGGAAATGATGGGATGGATGAGGAGGAGGGAAGAAGAGCGGGAGTAAGGGAGGAGGAGGAGGAAGGGTGAGAGGAGGAGGAAGGAGGAGGAGGAGGAAGGAGGAGGAATATGAGTAGGATGAGGGGGGAGGGGAGGAGGAGGCGGAGGCGGAGGAGGAGGAGGAGGAGGAGGAGGAGGAGGAAGGGGAGGAGGAGGAGGAGGAAGGGGAGGCGGAGAAGGGCTGCTGCTGATGATGATGCTACTGCTTATGATGATGCTGATGATGATGATGATGATGATGATGCTGATGATGATGATGCTGTTGCTGCTGCTGCTGATGATGATGCTGATCATGCTGCTGACGATGATGCTGATGATGTTGCTGATGATGATGATGATGATGATTATGATGATGATGCTGATGGTGATGCTACTGCTCATGATGATGATTCTGTTGATCATGCTGCTGACGATGACGCTGATGTTGATGCTGATGAGGATGCTGCTGCTGATGATGATTCTGATGATGATGCTGATGATGATGATGCTGATGATGATGGTGTTGCTGATGATGCTGCTGATGATGTTGCTGCTGCTGATTATGTTATTGGTGATGATGATGATGCTGATGCTGCTGATGATGATGCTGCTGCTGCTGATGCTGATGACAACGATGCTGCTGATGCTGATGATGCCGCTGATGATGATGACAACGATGCTGCTGATGGTGATGATGCTGCTGCTGCTGATGCTGATGCTGATGCTGATGATGATGATGATGATGAGGAGGAGGAGGAGGAGGAGGAGGAGGAGGACATGGACATGGACATGGAAATGGGCAAGGAAGAGGAGAGACCACTGGCGGGAGGAGGAGGGAGGAGGAGGAGGAGGAGGAGAGGAGGATGGGGGAGGAGGGAGGAGGAGGAGGAGGAGGAGGAGAGGAAGGAGGGAGGAGAGGAGGCGCTCCTCCTAGAGGAATCGTGGATGCCCTGCAGAACCTTTCGGAACCATCCTCGCAGAACCTCACTCTCCATCCATCCATCCATACCCCCCCAAAAAAAAAAAAAATCCATCCATGCCATCCTCCATCCATTCCATCCATCCATCCATCCATCCATCCATCCATCCATCCATCCAGCCATCATCCGATCCATCTCCATCCATCTCCATACCTCTCCATCCATCCATCCATCTAACCATCATAAACCCATCCATCCATCCATCCATCCATCCGTCCACCTCCTCATGCCTCCTGTATCTATCCATTCATCGCCTCTCCTTCCCCCCTCTTTTCCTCCTCCCTCCTCATCCTCCTCCTACACTCCTCCTCCTCCTCCTCCTCCTCTTCCTCCTCCTCCTCCTCCTACTCCTCCTCCTACTCTCCCGCCTTTCCCCTCCCTCCCTCCTCCTCCCCTCCCTCCTCTCCCCTCCCTTCCTCCCTCCTCCTCCTCCTCCTTCTTCCTCCTCCTCCTCCTCTCCTCCTCTTACTCATCTACCCTCCCTCTCCTTCCCTCCACTCCCCTTCCCTCACCTCCTCACTCCCCGCCCATCTTATCCCCTGCTCCCCCCCCCCTTCTCCCCCCCCCTGCCTGTCCTCCTCCTCCTCCTCCTCCTCCTCCTCCTCCTCCTCCTCCGCCGTCCTCCTCCTCCTCACCCTCCTCCTTCCTCCTTCCTTCCCCTCCTCCTCCTCCTCCTCCTCCTCCTCCTCCTCCTCCGCCTTGCCTCCTCCTCCTCCTCCTTCCTCCTCCCTCCTCCTCCTCCTCCTCCTCCTCCTCCTCTCTCCTCTCTCCTCTCTCCTCCCCCCCTCCCTCCTCCTCCCTCCTCCCTCAAACCCTGCGGGCGGCCCAATCCCGCCGGTGCAGCTCCGAGGCTCGGGCGGCCAGCGTGCCTCTACCACGTCCAGGTGCCCCTTCGGGGGAGGCGCGGGGAGGCGAGGGGGAGAGAGGGAGCGAGGGCAGGGAGGGAGGGAGCGAGGAGGAGCGAGGAACAGGGAGGGGAGGGGACGGCAGGATAAGGACGAGGGGAGCGTCGTTGTGGTCGTCGTCGTCGTCGTCGTCGTCGTCGTCGTCGTCGTCGTCGTCGTCGTCGTCGTCGTCGTCGTCGTCGTCGTCGTCGTCGTAAGAGGAGGAGGAGGAGGAGGAGTAGGAGGAGGAGGAGGAGGAGGAGGAGGAGGAAGGAAGGAGGAGGAGGAGGAGGAGGAAGGAGAGGAGGAAGGAGGAGGACGGAGGAGAGGAGGAGGAAGGAGGAGGAGGAGGAGGAGGAGGAGGGAGGAGGAGGGAGGAGGAAGGAGGAGGAGGAAGGAGGAGGATTCACGACAGAGTGTTCTTCTGGTGGAGCCCCGCGCCCGCTCGGCCAGGCGGGTGCATGCAGCGGCGGCCGGAAGCGCTGCCTGGCGGGAGGGGGCTTCTGGGACTGCGCGGTCGTCGGAGCACATCGCCTGTCGACGTGCGGCGGCGATGCCGCGAGGCAGCACATCTCGGGACCCCAGACCTCCTCGCGTTGTGAAAAAAATCACGACGGGAGGTTTTTCGCTATTTTCGGCCTCTGGGGGCCCTTCCCGGGCCTCGGGACCGTCAAAAAACGACTCGGGATGCAAAACCGGTCCCGGCGAAAGGGTCCAGACCTCTGGGGGTCGACGTTGTGAAACAATCACAACGTCGGGGGTCTGGGTATCTCGGGACGCGAGAGCGGTGTTCGGCTATGGGCGTCAGGTCAGCCAGGAAGGCGCACGCGCGCACACGTAGGCGTGAGCACGACACAGGGGCAGGTGTGGCGTGGGCTGGGAAAGCGACACACAGTGAAGCCAGCAGCGATGCCAAGTGTAGGATTAGGTCGGGCCTGTCCCCCTACAGGGGGATTTTGGACGAAAAACAAAAAAGACTAAACAAATACTCAAAAGATGCCCTTAAATACTCAAAACATAGTCCCCAGACTATTTTGTTGACTATTTGTGAATTTTCCCCCTGTATAGGGACAGGCCCGACTTAAGTGTAGGAGCCTGTAGCTGCTGACTGGCTTGGACTGCAGAGGGGCTCGAGGCTCGACGTCGCCTCACCAACTTCGGGAGAGGCGGGAATCCACAATTCGTTCAGCATGCGCGGCATCCTCATCAATAGGGGGAGGCCGAGGTGGAGGAGGTGCGGGAAGAGGTCCTGGGCGCACCCACCTACGCACAAAGAAAAACATCTTCGGTCGCTCGGCCTTGTACGGGCTCGCGGCTACGAGTAGTAGGCACAGCGACTGGGACGCGCCGTGCGCGAACCCATTTCCACTGCAAGCCCATTCCCAACTCCACTGCATAGTTGCGAAACGGCGGCCAGCTGGAGGTCCGACATGTCTCGGGGCTCAAGAGACGGGGGTCAATGCAAACGGGGGTCAATCAGATCGCAGGATCTTGCAGGATACTGCAGAGCCAGGGTTGCATTGACCCGAGTCTGGGTGCAAAATCTCACAGGATCTTGCAAGATCCTGCAAAACCCGACTGACCCAGGTCTGGATTTACCCGGGTCCCCAGACATCCGGCTGCTCCAATCTTGTTCGATGCATGGGCCCCAGAAGTCCGGACCACTTCCCCGGGACCGGGTTTTCGTCCCGAGTCGTTTCTTAACGCTCCCGAGGCCCGGCGGGGGCCCCCGGAGACCGAAAACTGCCATAATCCCAGCGCTCCAATTTTTCGGAGCGTCGGATCTCTCGGTCAATAGATCCCCGAGTGTCACAAGCTCACGGCGAACGCCATCTTACCAGCCTGGAACATATCCCTATCCCTATGCTGGGCACCTCCTCATCACGATGCCAATCTTAGGGATTCCCTTATTTCCCAACCATCCTGTGGTGTTGGGTCCTCGTTTTGAAGAGACGGTGCCCCGCGTTCCTCTCCTCTCCTCTCCTCTCCTCTCCTCTCCTCTCCTCTCCTCTCCTCTCTCTCTCTCCTCTCCTCTCCTCTCCTCTATCCTCTCTCTCTCCTCTCCTCTCTCTCTCTCCTCCTCCTCCCTCCTCCTCCTCCTCCCTCCTCCTCCTCCTCTCCTCCTCCTCTCCTCCTCCCCCTCTTCCCTGCGTTTCACCCACCCAGTACAGCGTTTCGTAGCCCCATAGGAGCTCCACCGAAGGCCCCAATGCCCGCGCCCGCATGCGTCACCCACACCCATTTCGGCACACCCCTCACACGTTTCGTGGCTCCATAGGGAGCTCCCGAAGGCCCCAGTGCCCGCGCCCACATGCGTCACCCAGCAAACCCCTCACACGCTTCGTGGCTCCATAGGGACTCCACCGAAGGCCCCAGTGCCCGCGCCCGCATGCGTCACCCACCCCCATTTCGGCACACCCCTCACACGCTTCGTGGCTCCATAGGGAGCTCCACCGAAGGCCCCAGTGCCCGCGCCCGCATGCGTCACCCACACCCATTTCGGCACACCCCTCACACGTTTCGTGGCTCCATAGGGAGCTCCACCGAAGGCCCCAGTGCCCGCGCCCGCATGCGTCACCCACACCCATTTCGGCACACCCCTCACACGTTTCGTGGCTCCATAGGGAGCTCCACCGAAGGCCCCAGTGCCCGCGCCCGCATGCGTCACCCACACCCATTTCGGCACACCCCTCACACGTTTCGTGGCCCATAGGGAGCTCCGCCGAAGGTGCCCCAGTTGCGTCACCCACACCCATTTCGGCACACCCCCACACGTTTCGTGGCTCATAGGGAGCTCCACCGAGGGCCCCAGTGCCCGCGCCCGCATGCCAGCCACACCATTTCGGCACACCCTCACACGTTTCGTGGCTCCATAGGGAGCACCCCCGAAGGCCCCAGTGCCCGCGCCCGCATGCGCACCCACACCCATTTCGGCACACCCTCACACGTTTCGTGGCCCCATAGGGAGCTCCACCGAAGGCCCCAGTGCCAGCGCCCGCATGCGTCACCCACACCCATTTCGGCACACCCCTCACACGTTTCGTGGCTCCATAGGGAGCTCCACCGAAGGCCCCAGTGCCCGCGCCCGCATGCGTCACCCACACCCATTTCGGCACACCCCTCACACGTTTCGTGGCTCCATAGGGAGCTCCACCGAAGGCCCCAGTGCCCACGCCCACATGCGTCACCCACACCCATTTCGGCACACCCCTCACACGTTTCGTGGCCCCATAGGGAGCTCCACCGAAGGCCCCAGTGCCCGCGCCCGCATGCGTCACCCACACCCATTTCGGCACACCCCTCACACGTTTCGTGGCTCCATAGGGAGCTCCACCGAAGGCCCCAGTGCCCGCGCCCGCATGCGTCACCCACACCCATTTCGGCACACCCCTCACACGTTTCGTGGCTCCATAGGGAGCTCCACCGAAGGCCCCAGTGCCCGCGCCCGCATGCGTCACCCACACCCATTTCGGCACACCCCTCACACGTTTCGTGGCCCCATAGGGAGCTCCGCCGAAGGCCCCAGTGCCCGCGCCCGCATGCGTCAGCCACACCCATTTCGGCACGCCCCTCACGCGTTCCGTGGCCCCATAGGGAGCTCCGCCGAAGGTCCCAGTGGGTGTGCCCGCATGCGTCCCGCACACCCATTTCGGCACACCCCTCGGCCCCAGTGCCCGCGCCCGCATGCGTCAACCACACCCATTTCGGCACACCCCTCAAACGTTTCGTGGTCCCATGGGGAGCTCCACCGAAGGCCCCAGTGCCCGCGCCCGCATACGTCACCCACACCCATTTCGGCACACCCCTCACACGTTTCGTGGCTCCATAGGGAGCTCCACCGAAGGCCCCAGTGCCCGCGCCCGCATGCGTCAGCCACACCCATTTCGGCACACCCCTCGTACGTTTCGTGGCCCCGTAGGGGGCTCCACCGAGAAGATATTCACAATTGCAGTATTCATAATTGCATATGGTTGGGTCCTTCGCCAGGATAATTTTTGAGGGCGCATCCCTAAGATTGTCATCGCCTTTTGGCGTGTCAATCTTAGGGATAGGGATACGTTCGAGGCTGGTAACCATCGCCCTCACGGCTAGCTATGCGTCATCCGGCCCGCCGGCAACATCGCCTCCGGCCTGGGCGCCTCCGGCCTGGGCGCCGCAAGGGGCGCAGCACCGGCGCGCAGACGCGCAGCGAAGCCCTTCCCGGGCCTCGGGACCGTCAAAAAACAACTCGGGATGAAAAACCGGCCCCGGGGAAAGTGTCCAGACCGCTGGGGTCGAGCTGGCATTCTTGGGGGTCGCTTGATGGGGGGGGGGGATGGGGGCGGGGGGGGGCGATGCAAGGGGAGGGGGGAAGAAGGGTGCACTCTTCGCTCGGGCCCTAACAAGGCCCCTCTGTGGGCCCTGAAGGGCCCCTTTTCTGCAGCCCTCGCTGCCCCCCCTTTGGCCGCCCCCTCGTTGCGCGACGCGCCCACGCACGAGGGAGAGCAAGATCTCCAGGGGCGCCCGCGGCAGCAGCAGCAGCAGCAGCAGCAGCAGCAGCAGCAGCAGCAGCAGCAGCAGCAGCAGCAGCAAGCTCTAGCTCCGGAGCGGGCTGCGTGCGCCGGCAGGCTCGCCGGTGGCCCGCGCGAGCGACGGCTGCTGCTGGCGGCAGCGGCAGCTCTCGAGGAGGCCGCAGCCTCCTCGAGAAGGTCGCGGAGAGCGAGAGGGGCGAGGGAAACTGGCGCGCCCGACTTGGATGCGGACAAAAACCAATAAGCGCAGTCGAGCCGAAATCATCAAGTCCAAAGCACATCGCCACAGCCTGCCGCAGAGTCCTCCCAAGGGCGAAGACAGCCTCGGCGAAGACGTCGCTGGAGGAGCGGGCTGGACGGCCGACTCGGCAGCAGCAGCGGCATCGGCGGCACCACGTGGCGGGGAGCGCGGGGACGCAGCCGGCGGCGGCGGCGGCCCACTCCGCGTCGGGGGGCGGCGGCGGCGCCTGGGCGGAGGCCTGCCCCGCCTGGGAGCAGCAGCAGGCGCAAGCCCGGCTGCACGCACAGGGCCGGCAGCAGGGCCACGACTGACCGCACTCGACGAGCCCGGGGCCCAGAGGCATGCACCACCACCACCACCTCCCTCCCCCCTCCCCTCCCCCAGGACAGAGGCGAGGGGCGGAAGAGGGAGGAGGCATCGATTGAGCAGGGACCGACCGTCCCGACTTTCCTACAGGCCTGCCACGGCATGTTCAAGAACCCCAAAACGTGTTAAGAACAAACATGTTCTTAGAACCTAAACCCGATGTGTTAAAACAAGACCGACTCAGCCAGAACTGTTCTAAGAACATTTCGTGCAATCCACAAAAGGCTCTCAGAACATTCTGTGGTGGGCCTATCGGCGAGCCAGGACGCTTCGCCACTGCTTGCATCGACGTGGTGGTGCTGCACAGTTCTTCCTGGGGCCCGCGAGGAGGGGCGCCCAGTCGACACGTGTTCGCCTCGGCGGGCCGGGCCGCAAGCCGGGGCAGGAACGGCCACGTCGCCCACAGCCGAAGAGGTCGGCCGACCCTGGCCGCACGCCCGAGCCTCCGCGCAGCGCGAGGAGCCGGCCTCTGTCGGCAGCTGTGGCGGCGCCGGCCGGCCAGCGCTCGCCGCACGCGGCCGCCAACTCCGGCCGAGTCCTGGCTGGCGGGGGCAGCGCGCAGGAGGCCGTGTCCCAGAAGCAGGGCTGCCTGGGGCAGATGGAGGTGTCCCCGAGGAATGTGGCCCTCGGCGGGAGGAGGGAGGATGAGGAGGAGGCGGAGGAGGAGGAGGAGGAGGAGAAGGAGGAGAAGGACAAGCTAGGTGCGCTCGCGTCATATCTGACATCCTACCCCTCCCTCCCATCCCTTACCATGGCGCAGATCCCCTCTCTACTCGCACAGTCGGATGTCGAGCAGGGCAATGATCCCGAAAGGGTACGCGATGCATTGTAGAGCACGGCATGGCATGGCGTAGAAGAGCACCGCAAAGCGTAGCATCAACCTAGCATTGCATTGCATGCCGTGGCATGGCACGGGAAATGACGCCAGCGCTGCAGCGGGAGCACGAGTCGAAACGAGCGGAAGCGCGGAAATGAGGCCAGCGCTGCAGCGGGAGCACGATTCGGAACGAGCGGAAGCACGGAAATGAGGCCAGCGCTGCAGCGGGAGCACGATTCGGAACGAGCGGGGCCCGAAAATGAGGCCGGCGCCTCAGCGAGAGCATCATTTTGAAAAAAAAATGCAGGCGAAAACCCAACTCCGGGGAATCCTGTGTGTAAAAAACAGGACGCGGGGGGGGGGGGGGGGGGGGGCACTCCCCGCACGTCATCAGGGGAGGAGGGGAGAGTGTATTCATATTTCATATTGAGTAATTGTGGAGGAGGGGAGGAGGAGAGGAGCAGAGGAGAAAGCAGGAGGAGGAGGAGGAGGAGGAGGAGGAGGAGGAGGAGGAGGGAGGAGAGGAGGAGGAGGAGAGGAGGATGGGGAGCAGAAGGAGGAGGAGGAGGAGGAGGAGCAGAAGGGGAAGCAGAAGGAGGGGAGGAGGAGGAGGGCAGAGGGAGAGTGGGGGGGCAGGTGGAAGGGAGGGGGAAGGACGAGGATCGAGTTGTGTGCGCGATGCTTGTAATTCCTGGCCCTCCCGAGGCCTTTGGAAGTGTCCGACACGGCCAAAGAGAGAGAGTTGGAGTGAGGGGGCATTCTCCTCCTCCTCCTTCTCCTCATGTTCCATCCTCCTCCTCCTCCCTCCTCCTTCTGTTCCTCCTCCTGCTCCTCCTCATTCTGCTCCTCCTCGTCCTCCTCCTCCTCCTGCTCCTCCTGCTCCTCTTGTTCCTCCTGTTCCTCCTCCTCCTCCTCCTCCTCCTCCTCCTCCTTCTCCCCCTCCTTCCTCCCCCTCCTCCTCCCCCTCCTGCTCCTCCTCCTCCTCCTCCTCCTCGGGGGATGAGGGGAGAAGCAAAAGAGGCGAAGCGGGGGGCGAGGCGGGGGGGGGGAATAAGGAAGGCAAGGGGACGGGGGAAGGGACATATAGCGTCCAAGTGCCCATGGGGGAGGAGGGGTGGGGCAGAAGAACGGGGAGTTGGCAAAAGTTGAAGTCAGTGAGAGGCTGAGAGGAGGGAAGAGGTAGTGAGAGGGAGATTAGAGAGGAGGGAGGTGCACCGAAGACGGGGGCGAGAAACTAGGACATGGATGGTGGGCAGAGATGCAGGATGGGTGGGTGGATAAGGCGATGGACGTGAACGAAAGGACAGATCAATCTCTATCCGTATATCTATACATGTATACATACATACATACAAGCATACACCGAGAGATAGAGAAAGAGAGAGAGAGAGAGAGAGAGACACACAACAACGCGAAACAAGAGACGCCGTGCAAGAAACAGGCCCCGACGCAGCCGCTGTCGGAGTCAAGCGATGTGAAACAGCCTGGATGTCGGCCAGACGACGAGACGGGAAGAGGGGAAAAGGCTACGGAGGGAGGCGAGGCGAGGCGACGAGGCGAAAACGAGACGAGACGAAGAGCCGACACGGCAAGGGAAACACGCCTTGCGCGAGGAGGAAGCGCGTCGCCGAGGCACGTCGCGTGCCTGGCAGGCCAGGCCTTGCAGCAGAGAAGTGCATCCGCTGCCAGGAAGGGGACGTGGCAGGACAAGAGCGTTCGGGGGGGCGAATCCTCGAGCCCACACCAGTGTTAGGTCGGGCCTGTCCCCCTACAGGGGCATTTTGGACGACAAAGAAAACAGACCCCCCAAATACTCAGACATAGCCAAACATTTTGAAACATCCTCCCCAGACCATTTTTTGGCTATGTTTGAACATTCCTCCTGTAGAGGGACAGGCCCGACTTAACACCAGTGCCTCGAGGTTTCCCAGGACCTCGAAGTCGAGAGGATTCCTGGGGCCAGGTACCTACTGGGAGGGCACCCTCTCTCGCGAGCAGCACTGGCTGTAGGGAGGGGGGAAGAGGAGGAGAAGGAGGAGAGGAGGAGGAGGAGGAGGAGGAGGAGGAGGAGGATGGAGGGGGGAGATGGGGGGTGGCCTCGGAGACGTCCGCGGTGGCTTGGGGCCTCCCGCGGGGTGGCGGAGACCTGCCCCCCTGTGTGTCGCCCCGCCTGTCGACGAGGTGGCGGCGGTGAGGACGACGGCGGTGGCGACGACGACGGCGGCTACTGGGCGACCTGCGCGTCACCCCACACGATGGCGGGCACCCCGACGCTCAGCATGTTGACCAGCCTCTGGGGGGAAGGGGGAGACGGGGACAGCAGAGCCGGGGCGATCAGTAGGGGAGTGCGGCACAACAGCTGGCCACAAGATGGCAGGCACCCCGACGCTCAGCATGTTGACCAGCCTCTGGGGAGGAAAGGGAGAAGGGGACAGCAGAGCCGGGGCGATCAATAGAGGAGTGCGGCACAACAGCTGGCCAGAAGCAAGGTGGCACTAGATTCGGCCAGGGTCGGCTATCTAGCTTGTGAACGGGGTGCCCTGGTCTTGCTGTCGCTGCTGGCCTATCTCGCACGCGGGTCCGAGCGGCCAGGAGGAGGAAGGAGGAGGAAGAAGAGAAGGAGCATGAGGAGGAGGTGGAGGAAGAGGTGGAGGAAGAGGAGGAGGAGGAAGAGGAGGAGGAGGAGGAGGGCGCCATCCTTGAGGCTTCGGAGAGGAATCAGGACGGGAGGGGGACAGCGGCAGCAACAGGAGGACGGGAGGGGCTGGAAAACGAGGTCGACGGGTCGAGGCTGGAGAGGCTGGAGGGACGGGAGAAAGAGGCGCGAGGAGGAGGAGGAGGAGGAGGAGGGCGGAAGAGGAGGAGGAGGAGGAGGAGGAGGAGGAGGAGGAGGAGGAGGAGGAGGAGGAGGAGGAGGAGGAGGAGCGCACGTAGCTTGAATCCACGGTGATCCAGCTACCGCCAGCGCTCTAACACCGCATTGCGGCGAGAGCAGCGGCTCGTATTTCGTAGTGGTATGCAGGCGAGGGGGCACGGGGGCCGCTCGCCATGTCAGCTGTCAGCTTATGATAGATATGGAAGCTCAACACGAGGGGGGTACAAGTAGCCAATATCAACAAAATTCATGAAGAAGAGAAGAACATGTCAATATTGTTCAGCACGTAGCTGGTACACGAGGTACAGAATGAAGAAGGAAAGGCTGCCTCAGCCGCCCTGGGGGGGCGGCCCGCTCCTCACCAGGTTTCTGCCTCTGTCTACTTGTTGAAGTAGAGCAACGTGCATACCCTCCACCTCCTCTCTCCTCTCCTGAGATTGGCTGCTGCTGTCTGCCCCTCCTCCTCCTCCTCGCCTGTCCTCGGGGTGATGGTTACCTCCCCCTCCTCCTGCTTGCCTTGCGTCAGGGTGGCTGCTGTGGGCGTCGCTGCCTCCCCCTCCTCCTCGTCCTCCTCCTCTGGCTCCAGCTGGTGCGGTGCCCGTAGGCTCCGGCCTCTCGAGCTCTCTGCCTGCGTCCACTTGCAGTACACGATCTGCGTGGTGCTGGTGCTGCTGGCTGCTGCTGCTTCTGTGCGCGTGCCTTGCGTCAGGGTGGCTGCTGTGGGCGTCGCTGCCTCCCCCTCCTCCTCGTCCTCCTCCTCTGTCTCCAGCTGGTGCGGTGCCCGTGGGCTCCGGCCTCTCGAGCTCTCTGCCTGCGTCCACTTGCAGTACAGGATCTGCGTGGTGCTGGTGCTGCTGGCTGCTGCTGCTTCTGTGCGCGTGCCTTGCGTCAGGGTGGCTGCTGTGGGCGTCGCTGCCTCCCCCTCCTCCTCGTCCTCCTCCTCTGGCTCCAGCTGGTGCGGTGCCCGTAGGCTCCGGCCTCTCGAGCTCTCTGCCTGCGTCCACTTGCAGTACAAGATCTGCGTGGTGCTGGTGCTGCTGGCTGCCGCTGCTTCTGTGCGCGTTGGTGCTGCTGTAGCGGTCCTGAAGGACGGCCGCACGGATGCCGGCCATCATCTTGAGCCTCTTGCGACGGCACGACACGACAATGTAGTGACAGCGATGGCGTGGGTATTCAGACTCCATGTCTGGGGAGGGGCCGAGGCCAAGACGAGTGAGGGGGCAGGCAGGAAGATGGCCACGAGGGAAAGCGAGGAGGTGGAGCAGGCGAGGACAAGAGAGATAATGAGGCATGGAGTCGGGGTCTGTACATCCGAAAAGACATCGACGAGACTGGGCGCTGGGGATACGAGCCGACGTCGTCCAGCCGCCTGCCAGTGTCTTGATGTGAGCCCAGGCCCAAGACGGAGGAGTGCGTTCCAGAATCTGGCGAAGCGCAGCCCACCTCTGGGCCAGCTCTGGGAGCGGAGGCACTGAGAAACTCTGCAGATTAGGTTCCAGTATGTCCATGATCTGGATCGGCTCCTCAGGAGCACGGCCATCGAGCCAGCTCTGGAGACGGCGGCCGAGAAGTGAGGGGATAGAGTCAGGGAACAAGGAGGAGGAGAGGGATCGGGCGAGTGCTCTCTGCGGCCGCGGGCGGCGTACTTCATCGCCTGCGTGTCGAATCTCGTCACACGCCGCGGCCGTCGCTGTCCGCCACGCGTCCCCAGGGATCCCGGGAGCATGGGGAGCTGCGGGTGAAAGACTGGCAAAGAATTCGCAAATGCTTGTCGGGTTCATCCAACACTCCGGGCTCAGACGCCCTGTCGCGACGTGTGGGAGACTCCCAAACATCTCAGCCTGCGACGACAGAATTTCGAGCGAACCCCGCCATCCACCCTCCCCGAGTTCACGAAGCGTGTGAAACGCCGTGCGCCACGCTGAAGCCGCGCACATGACTCGAAGCGACCGTGGGGTGGCCGAGGTGAGCCAATTACCTATGCTGTGGAGCTCAGCGAGGCCAAAGGAGTTGGGGGGGAGGCGAAGGAGGCGGTGGAGGACGTGACGCTCCGCGCGGAGGAGGGAAACGGGAGGGGGGAAGAGCTGGCATAGGTAGCTCAATACAGTGATGGCGCCAAAGTTGTAGATGCGGCAACTGGCTTCCGTGGGGGATCGTGACAAGGCAATTTCCCACACTCGTTCACGCCATTTGCGTGTGGGTGCCGCCTACTGTGCGTCGAGCTCCGCCGACGGACCGAATTGCATGCCAAGGAACTCCGTGGATCCAGCTATCTTGAAATCAGCCCATGCTGGGATGAGGGCCAGGATCTGCTGTCGGTATTTCTGCACAACGGCGTCCGAGCACCGCTCAGCCAGCGGAACGATGGCGCATTTCGCCGGCTGCAGAGAGAGGTTGGCAAAGGTGCGGGTGGCGTCGAAGGGGGGGGAGAGCAGAGGAAGGAAGCCAATCGAAGGGAGAATCGCACCTACATCGTCCGCCGTCGCTCCGCACTCCGGCTCCAGCTTTGGAGTCCACCGACATGGCCCCGGGCACAACCTACGAGCCTGCTGAGATTCCAATTGGCCCGCAAGGTGCCTCAAGAACGGGTCCATGATCAGAGCCCACAAAGACCCCGAGAGGGGGCATCCCTGGGCAACTCCAGAGGTCACCATGAAGAGGGGGAGCCTCTTGGAGCCGCAGCGGGAATGGGCGAGAGCCCCTGAGTAGAGTGCAGCTATAAAATTCGTGTAGCCCCTCGGCATGCGGTGCTTAGCAAGGACCAAGAAGAGGAAAACCTGGGAGAGGGAGGGGAAAGCAGCGCGGATGTCAAAGGAAACAAAAAGTGGCAAGAAGGAGGGATGGTGGCCAGCAGCCCGGGCTACGAGGAGGAGGAGGAGGAGGAGGAGGAGGAGGAGGAGGAGGAGGAGGAGGAGGAGGGGGATGACGAAGAGGAGAGCGAGGAGGCGCATAGCAACAGTGGCACGAGGAGAGGAGCGGGAACAGAGAGCCCCCGGGGGACAAAGTCTGAACAGCGCCTCGAACCTCGAGCTCCGACGATGACGGCGGCAGGGGCGACCGCCACAGCCTGCCAGCCTCGAGGCCCGAGCTTTGGCGACGACGTCGGCAAAGACGAACACGACGAACCTCGAGCCTCGACCACGAGCCTCGAGTCTCGAGCCACGAGCCTCGGGCCTCGGGCCTCGGGCCTCGACGACGACGACGACGATCCTCGACGACGACGAACCCTCCTCCTCCTCCTCCTCCTCTTCTTCTTCTTTTTCTTCTTCTTCTTTTTCTTCTTCTTCTTATTTTTTGTTCTTCTTCTTCTTCTTCTTCCCTCCCCCTCCTCCTCCTCCTCCTCCTCCTCCTCCTCTCCTCCACCTCCTCCTCCTCCCCCTCCCCCTCCTCCTCCTCCTCCTCCTCCTCCTCCTCCTCCTCCTCCTCCTCCTCCTCCGGGCCGGCCTCTGCCCGGTCCGCCACCGGCTGCAGAACCACCACTCGCTGACGCAACCGGACCTCGGCGCGGCGGGGCGGGCGCGGCGGAGCGGGGGCGCCGCCCCCGAGGGAGCGGCCAGCCTCCCGGGGAGGCCCCGCCGACTTCCACCCCGATCCCTCGGGGAAGGGGGGAGGAGGGGCGAGGAGGGGGGGAGAAATGAGGGAGGGAAGGGATGGATGGGGGATGGTGGAGGAGGATGATGTCTGAGGATGGATGGGTCGATGGATGGATGTACGGATGGATGGATGGTGATGATATGAATGGTGACGGTGATGGTGATGGTGAATGGCGATGATGATGGTGATGATTTTGTTAAACAGAATAGGGGCTCAGGGGGAGGGGTAACTTGGGTACGGGAGCCCTCTGCCCGCTTCGATAGCGGATGTGCACCGCGGATCACTCACTACGCACTCAGTGCAGTGGCGACGGTCGCCCAGCACAGGTGCGATCTGCGGGGCGCGCCGCCGCAAACCCTGATGCCAAAGAGACCCTAAACAGCCGAGGACGAGCGGGGGGGCAAGGCCGAACGGCGGGGAAACGCGCGCGGGGCAGGAGGAAAAATAGCGGCTGTTTAGGACGCAAGCCTCACTCAGGACACGGCGGAGCGACGAAAGTCGAGCTGGCTGATCCTTGCGCTGTGGCCCGTGTTGGACGACAGAATACCAATGACCACCGACTCAGAGTCCGCGTCGCCGTGTACTTTGCACCAAAAGTGTGATAGCCGAACGCAAACGTCAATATACGCAGTCCACACTGTCGGTGCGAACGTCGGCGCTTCATTCATCATTCCATCTCCCCTTGGGCACAGGGCCCGAGGCCCGAAGAGGCCGAAGGGGGTAAACAGGTACGTCTTCACGCGTAGTTAGGCGAGGTTCGCCTCCACCCACTCGGTCCACTCCTGCAGCTCCTCCTCCATGTACCCCGCGGGGGCTGATCCCCGCAGATGACGGCCTCCGCATTGGCGAAGCCCGTCCAGTAGACCGAATCGCCTGTCTCCAAGCGTCTGCACTGCTAGCGCAATCTTCATCTGGTCCTCCTGTGCCGCCTTCTGCAGGCGGCATGCACGAACCAGTTGTTCCACGTCTTCGGCCTTCTCGCATCTGTTGATATCCTGGGCCAGGCTCTGGATCTTCTTCACATTGTCGCCGCCGCGCGCCTCCATGGCGGCCGCCACCTCGACCGGCGCCGCGAACAGCAGCGCGCGAGGTGGGCCAAGGGGCTCGGACATGGGGTTCCTCTCCTGCTCGTTGCGGTGCTCCTCCACGCGCTGGACGAAATGCTCCTGCTCCTCCTGAAGTGGTTGAACGAGCTTGCGATTCTTCCTGGAGATGAACGAGTCCAGCATGATGCACTCCATCATTCGAACCTTCTGCGTGTTGCTCAGCGTCTGTTTGAGTATCAGTAGCAGGAGTTGTCTCAGTCCTTTGTCTTTGACCTGGATCACTTTCGGTGTCTTCTGCTCTCCCTTGTTGCGCCTTTTGCCGCCGCGTCGCGTCGTCCGTGGTGCCGCCGTTGCCCCGCCATGGGGGCTCCTCGTTTCTCTCCGACCGCGACGGCTCCGCCATTCCCAGACGCTGACGAGGATGCCAGCGGGCGCCATGCTGGCCGCATCAGAAACCGAAGCCGATGAGAATACTGCCGCGCGAAGCCGAGGAGGGGCGCGATCTGATGACGCCCTCGGCGCAGAAGTTGGCAGGCGCGCTCCCAGCCTCGGCCTGGCAGCAGATTGGCGAAGCTCTCGAACAATCCACGGTCATGCCGAAAAATGCACAGGTATATGGTCTAGCCAACTGCTAACGGAGATGACGACGGTGATGCTGGCGTCGCTGAAGGCTGGGCTCGGCGCGGTGTAGTTTTGCTTCGGATTCGTGTACGTGTCGGTGCAGATCTCGGTTTTGCTGCTAGCTTGGGTTGAACTAGAGCTGCTTGCTGCGGTACTGGTTTACCTGCATTAGGTGTGGCTGATGACGTAGGTGAAAAATAATCGACTGCCGTGTGAGATGACGCTGATAATCGTGGTGGTGAGGTACTTGCTGTTGCTGATGATGAGCGTTGGGTGGCTGTGCGGCTTGCTGCAGTCTGGCTCGCTCATGTAGGTGCTACTTGCACCGCCCCCCCGAGGATCCCAAAGGAGGGGGGGAGGTGGGGCACTTCCTTGCAGATCGGGCACCCAAAGCAGTCGGGAAGCCTGCACTGCCACAGCTGCGCCGTGTTCTGGCGCGCACAGCGACGGGCGGACCGCCCGCGAAGAAAGTGGCGCACACAGTGATCGCGGCTGCGAAATACCGCATGGCATATCAAACATTTGTTGTCCACAACCAAGAGACTGAGTACGCTGCGCATCTGGTGGCTGGGCTCCTCGCTGCGAGTCTGATGGGCACGTGACGCAGCCAGAGTAATGAAAATCCGACTACATTTCGATCCGTCCTTCAACTCTACCTCGCACGTGTGGAGCTTGTCGCCATCGATCCCCGTGATCTCCTCCTCCAGTGGCATCTGATCCTCGAGCGTCGTACCGTGTGGGTGCCAATTCTGAAAGAGAAAGCCAGTGCGCAAGGTGCGCGGGTCCATCGCGGTGTACATGTCACGGAGCTGCTCGTCTTCCAAAAGCCTCTCAATGCACCTTGGATGCCGCGTGTCTCGCAGCTCGGTCGCCAAGTCGATCGTGAGAAGAATCTCGATGTCCGTGCGTAACTGCTTCGCCCCAGGGTGAATGGGTGCGTTCACATTAATCGCGCCGTACTCGTCAAGGATTGGCACCCTCATGTTAGCTGCGCCTTCAAGCGCCAGGTCGCCGGAACAAAAACATCCAAGAAATGGACGTGTTGTGGCGTGTCCGTGAGTGCGTCGCGCCACCAGCAGAGCCGTCGCACAGTGAGTTCCAGCGCGACAGGTGCAAGCTTCCAATGTCGTCGAAATTTGAGGGGCGGCCAGGACCGATGAAGACCGTTGACCTCTGAGTGCGCGCGGCCCTGGAGCATGGGACGAAGCTCCCCGACCAAGCTGGAGTCGAGCGCCTGTGTATCAGGCTTACTATACATGTAGCTCTCACCGCCAGGGGTGGCCGCGCTGTGCACGCAACCTCCGAATAGCAAGCGTTTAGGTTTCCATCCTGCGTCGGAATGCCAGAACCCACTCAACTGATTCCAAACTCTATTGATGGCGAGAAGTCGTTCGCGTCGCTCAGCAATGTTACTCCCAGAATCAGAGAACATACCGCCGAGGTGCGTCAGCTCAGGCATCATCATGCCGACTAGACGGCAGTCCTTAGCGGGCTCGTGTGTAATACCTCGGCGGCGCGCAGCGATTGCGATCTCGGCCTTCGTGCGATTTTGCCCGTGCTCTTTCAGATCGCCACTTGTGTCCAAACATTCAGCGCCCAGGTTGCAAACGTACCGGATCTCGTCTGCTGTCGCCTCGGGGGGAAGGGCCAGTCGCTTCAATGGATCGTCAATGAAGAGACCCGCCCCAGCATTGATGGCGTCGTGGAAAAATTCCGACGACGCCAAGGTGCACTGCGAAAACCCACTGGCAGTGGCGATATTTTCAGATATACGTTCATAATCGTTGCCCATGAAGAACTCGGGCTCGTTGCTATCGCCCATGAGACCACCCATGCCAGCCTTGAGGTGTGTCCATCCCTGCGGTGAGCTGATTCGCACAACTGCATGCTAACGTCGCTCGGAGGTAAATTCCATGTTGCTCTCGATGCGCTTCTCCATTTCTTCGGGTTCACCTTGCTCAAAATACGTATGTAGGGCACGATTGCCAGGAATAAGCATAAGATCATCCAGCTTCCCGCTCTGAAATGCAGCGCGCTGGTCATAAGATTTAGCAACCAGGGTCCATTTGCACGCTCTCACACGGTATGCCACAATTCGAAATAAACACATCATTCCTCCCCGTCTACGCTTGCTGATGCCCCGGTACGCCCACTTAGGTGACACGTGCTGCCCTCCCTCATGGTACGTGATGCGTCTGAAAAAAGCTGCGCCACCATGGGCACAAACAGTGAAGAAGTCGTAATCCAGGTGGCCCAGGGATAGCTTTCTTTTTGTCCAGCGCGAGGGTCTGACTCATGTTCGCCTGGCTAGGGGTAAGAACGGTAGCTCGAGCATGCGCGTGAATCTCAGTAAGTATCTTCGATGCCTGTGTGTACTCATCCAAGGGCAACTTCCTCTTCGTCGGGTACGCTCTCGAAGTCCACGGGGTCGAACGCCGTGAACAGCCCGAGCCCGGCAGTCTGTGCCCCCGGCTTGCTGAGGATACAAGGGTTGGTCGCGATGAGGTAAATCTCGGTCGGTCGACTCCCGCACGGTGCACGCTCTCTCCTTTTCATATTCCACAGGTGCTTGCGGGTTTCGAAGAGAAATCGTCCTGGCCCAAGAACAGATCCTAAATGCCGATGGTGACTGAGCGTCCAGCGGGGCGAGGTGGCAGTGCGATTCGTTCGTCAGGGCGGTGTGCCACTGCGAGTGCTGTTAGGAGATCGTCGTCGGATAGTAGACAGGCAGAAAAGACCACGCCACATTGCACATCGAGGCGCCGCGGCTTTGAGACCGTTCACCACATTGCACGTCGAGGAACTGTCGGGCCTGCTGCGGGCCCAGGGAGCTTCGCAAGCCCCAAATCGCGCCCCCGTCGCAGAAAGCCTGATGCCCCGAGACATCCTGCGATGGGCTGGAATTCCCCAGGCGTGGCAATCATCACGCACTGCTGACACTGGAACCCTAAACCGCACTTGTTCCTCATGCGGAAAGACGCGGCCCTCCTCGAGCGCGCAGCGGCGACCTCGGAGCGGGCCCATCTGTGTTAGCGGGGCCAGAGGGGTAGGATAGCAGCAGCAAGCTCTAGAAAACTCAGAGCACCGAGCCTGCTAAAGCTCGGTCCTCTCCCAAAGGGCGTGGATCGGGCGGAAATGCGTCTCGAGGGCAATCTGCGCGCGTGCATCTGCCGCCCAATTAACCACAGCATGCGGAAAACCGTCCCAGTCCAAACTTTTGATCTCTTCATCACTTCG